CGGTGGGCTTCAGCCAGCTGGCTTGGTATTAGCTTGTAAAGTCTTATTTTCAAGGTCGAGATGAGTAACTTACCAGCAGGTCATGTTCCAGACATTTACTTGCATTTGGACTGTCTGTGGGGTTTAGATTGAAAACAAACAAACCCCCAAACTTTTCTGTGTGGTGGGGATTCAAACTGCCTTTATTTAGTGGGGATGAGCTCCCCAAGACCGAAGAGAACACTTGGAATTTTTCTCCTGGAAATATAGAAAGCTGGGATTCATTGGTGGTGTTCTGACCTCAAGGGTGAGACCTCATTTTGGATGTGTCATTGAAAACATGACTCTCGAGTGAACAGTTGGGAAGCCTCCCCACAAGGGAGTCAGGCATGAAGGGGAAGGGTCTAGGCTTTGAAGGTGATGCCCTCGTTGCTGGAACCAGGGAGAGTGCTGCACTCAGGATGAGACCCCCAGCCGGCAGGATACAGCTTTCTCTGGGAAGACCACCAGATCACATCAGGTTTTCCCACCTGGTCACAGAGGACCAAGGGGACCAGTCAGCCAGCGGGGCTCTGGTGGCAGCCAGGTGAGCCCGGAAGTGGAGGTGTGACCATGGGCCAGGGGAGGGACCCTCTGCGGTTGATGCAAAGTCGTCTGGCAAGTGTAGGCGGCATCCAGCCTTCCCACCCTGAGAGCATCTCTAGGAGTCTGGTCCTGCTAGCAAGAGCCAGGGGCTGCCTCCTTTGCAGAGGCCAGACCTCAGTGTAGACCCACCCCATGAGTTGGGTCCTGGATGCATGGCCAGGGAGAGCAGAGACCCGCCCCCCCCCCCCGCCCTGGTGTGTTCTGTTGTGCACCTTCTGTGGCATGAATGAATGGCACCTTGAGGGGGTGGTCAGCCTTACTGCACCCAAAACCAGCTGTGTGACCATGGGCAAGTCACTTAACCTTTCTGAACCTTGACATTCCTGTGCCTACGTGGGGACAATGATGGGGGTCAAAGTCTTTCTATGGTTTTGAGGTTTAAATGAAAGAATGTTAATGAGGCTTCTTCTTGGGTGGAGAGTACTGGGGTCAGCCTGAGGATTCAAGATCAACTGCCACCGTTTTCATAGTGAATAGCTGCAGGAAGCAGGGACTTCTGTCAGGAGACGCATACCTTGTTCTAGCTGATCTACTCTTGTGGAGCTGCCTTAACAGCGAGCTCATCCTCCATCCACTGCTCCTTCCATCCACCCCCCACCCATATACCCTCTACCCACCACCCACCCATCTACCCACCCCCCATTCACCATCCATCCACCCTTCCTTCCATCCACCCATCCACCCATCTCTCCATCCATCCATCCGCCCCCCCCATTCACCATCCATCCACCCATCCAATCTCTATCCTTCATCCATATTGTACCGAGGACCTGCTGTGAGTCAGACGCGGGCTAGGCACTGTGTGTCAGGCCGCAGTGAAGACATGGTCTTCGTTCTCAGAACTCACAGTAAGCTGGGGAGTAGGAAGTCAGGACACCATCAGCTACAGGGGTTGGAGAGCAAGAGCTAAGGAGCCCAGGGAAGGAGGGGCACCAGGAAGAGGAATGACTCAGGTGGGAGCTTCCAAAGGGCTGTGGTCTCTGAGCTGTGGGTCATCTGGGGGACCCAGCACTTTGCAGGCCCGAGTGTCACGTTGGCTCCGCCTGGGTCAAGGTCCGGGTGTGGCTGGGGTCCAGGAGTGCCCATTCCCTGGCCACCATCCTGACGCAGCTCCCTGCTGGTGATGCTCTGCTCTGGGTCCTGGCCCCCAGCACAGAGGCCTGCCGGCCCAGAGGGAGGGAGGAGGGCTGTGAAGGAGTCCGTGAACGTGGATGGCATTTCCCTCTGTCGTGAGCAGGCTGCTGAGGCCTGAGCGGTGCCTATGATCTTGTCACCTGAAGGCAATGTGGGCACTTCTGCATCCCATCCTGGCTCTTGCAGATTGTCTGAAAATGAGGCTTGTGCTCGTGGCTCCCTCACCATTGGGGTGGTCGCTGGGCATGCCCCACCCTGGCTATGTGATGCAGGAGGACAAACCCCGGGCTACGATGCTGCAGGCTGGTTCTTTAAACATTTTAACCATTGTGTTTCCGTATTGTTGATTTTGCTGGTTTTTCTATTTATTCCATTTTATGCAGGTAAAACCTTATTCTGGAAGGGGTGCCTGGGCAGAACCGGAAGCCAGAGATGTCCACGGGACAGCAGGGCTGAGACCCAGCCCCTGACCTAGAGGGACAAAAACCAACAGTACCAATAAGTAATTATAATTAAAGCAAAATTAACAGATGATGCTTCTGCCCCCATCACTCCTGGTCCAACCCTGACGGTCCCTTTGGTGCTTGGGCTGCCTCGGATCTGTGTGTGGGGGTGTCCTGGTGAAAAGCACCCACAGGGCCACAGGGACACTGGGATAAGGCAGGCGGGCACCCCTTTGTCGGCTGCTCCCCGCAACTGAGGGAGCAACACCTGCTCTGGCCTGGGGGCCGCTCAGGAGCCCGAGGACCCCACGTCAGGCTGAGAGCAGAGGGCAGGGTGCAGCCTCTCTGACAGGGCTGCCTCTGGGACTGGAGGGCCCTGCCTCCTGGCAATGACCAGCGCCCCTCCCTGGCCAGTGGCTTCCCCGGGGTTGGCATCAGGGCCCTCCATCACCTGCTCTCTGAGACATGGAAGGCCCTGTGCCCCCCAACACGCCTCCCCTTCCATGCTAGGAGGCCTTGCTTAGCCCCCGGCACCCCACAGAGCCCTGCACGGGAAGGCAGGAGTGCGGCCCGGCCTCACCTCTTCCCAGCTGCGGGCCTTGGCAAAGGTACTTAGCATCTCTGGTTTCCTAGTCTGGACGAGACAGCCGCAGGTCTGACCTCAGAGCAAGCGGACAGATGAAGGGTGCTTGGCCTGCTCTGGTCCCGTCCTTGGGGCCTCATGGAGTGAGGACAGTAATGTCTTCACATTTCTGTGTCTCAGCAGCCCTGGGCACTGTGTCCCTGGGCCTGGCACAGTCCCGGATGCCTGAGTGCCAAGCCCAGTGTCCTTGGTGATCCTGGTGGGGGCGACAGGACCCACGTGTCAGACTCTCTGAGATGCGGGTGGCAGCTTCAGTAAAGCCTTCCAGAGGTCACTTCCAGATTAGAATAGAAAACCGGTTTTCTTTTTGTGGCAGAGGCAGGCAGGGCCTTTTAATGCCATTAAGTACTAAGAAGCAGGAAGGATTGGGTTTTGAGAAGACACAGAAGTTGGGGAAGGAGGGGGGGGCCTCTTAGCGGGGGATGGGCTGAGCCGGTGGGAGTGCATGTGTCTGTCCCGCATACCACCTGTGTCCAAGCCTTGGTGATGAGCTGGGGGGGCACTGGGGACGTTAGCTTCTTCCAAAGGAAATGGGGCTAGCAGGCCTTTTTGGTAAGTGGGGCTGGGCTCTCTGGCCTTGCTGTTCACAGATTGGGCTGCTCCTTCTATACCCCAGGGGGGAAGCCTGTGTTGGTCAGGTGGGGTGCTGGGCCAGGCCCAGGCAGGGCAGCCACTAGGGGATTCACCAGGTCTGCGTGTCTCCATGTACACACGCATCAAGAAACACAGGACAAAATGTAAGAATTGCAACCAGGACCTTCATGTGAATGATAAGCATAGGCCTTTTCACGGGTTTGTCCATGTGCAGCAGACGTACCGGCCATGTGTGTGGAGGGCAGTGGGCTGGGGCCCTACTGTGTGGCTTGACCACTGCCTGAGACACCTGCCCAGGCTGCATGGTGGTGGGTCCTGGGGTTAGCGTCACTGCTAATGGCATTTGTGGAAATATTTTACCATTACTACTTAAAGTTTTTAAAGAATGAGGTAGGAGTTGAAAAATCGTTTCTTAAAGATCCGCTCATTTTGAGATCCCTGATGCTGTGGTTTTGAAGAAATGCAGTTTGGAAAACAGACCAGACCCATCTGCAGATGCTCCCCCAGGGAAGGTGTGGCTGAGAAGTGCAGCCCTGGCCAGGGGACAGATGCTAGGTCCGCGCCGGGGGGGGAAGAGGAGGCGGGGAGGGGCCCCTGCCACGCACCAGTACCCCCACCCCTGAGGTGAAAACAGCTACTACTTTAAGAAGGACTTGTTAATGTTTTCTGGAGCCTGGGAATCGCAGGGCACAGGGTGGTTTGTGTCTCTCATTCTGCGTTTGCTCCTGGAGGCTCGGCACTCAGCCTGCGTCCAGCACCTGTGAGCACCTCTGAGGTTGGTTCAGCCCGAGCAGTCGGGCGAAGGTTTCCAAGACTCTTCTGTTTCAGCAGCCAGGCGAGGGGAGGCAGGCCGCTCAGAGCTCTGCAGTGTGCATTTCCCACTGCGGGGCCCCGGCTGCCCACTTCTCCGTCGGGGACCCGTGGGTGGTGCTGTCTCCTGAAGGTGGCCATTGCATTATGGGAGCATGAGGCTGACCTCTGACACTGCGTCCTGGTTGCAGTCAGCAGAGGTGAGGGGTCCCCAGTGGGCACACTCCACCTCCCTGCTGTCCATGTCCTGCCCGTTTGGTCCATTCCACTGCCACATTTAGGAAATTAAATGGCCAGACTGCCTGTTGGCACAGCCAGAGTCAGGCTCACAGGCTTCTGCGTGTCTAACGCATTGTTCTGTGCATTGTTCTGCGTCTGGGGTCTCAGGACGCCCCTCGAGGAGAAGCATCTCCTCCGGAAGCATGCAGAAAGCAGTGTTCTGGTAGGATTATGTTTATAGATGTGAGAATCGTTCTTGGGGTATGTTGTTACTTTGTTTGCATTATGTTGTTACTTTGTTTTTTTTGTCCAAAGCAATGTGTACAGTGTGATTCCATCCCGTCTGTACCCGCACAGAAGCATCCCCAGGTGGTGAGCTGGTGCCTGGACAGCAGGCTTACGAAAGACCCTGATTTCCTTTTTCCATTTTCCCCGGGGGAACCGAGCTGGTTGCTCCATGTGAGGTGATGCGTTGGGGTGCCCGTGCCCTGCATCACTTCAGCTCTGACACGTGGTACGTTTTTCTCTTCCAGTGACATCTTCGACGCCATGTTCCCTGTCACGCACATCGCCGGGGAGACCGTCATACAGCAAGGTACGTTCCCTGCTTCTCTGAGCCAGAGCGCGGGGGCCGTGGGCCGTGGGCATGCCCAGGGTGTGAACACAAAACCCGTTGTCCACCCTCAAGGAAAGTCACTAATGAGACCAGAGCACGTCGCTCTGCACTCTCGTTGACGGAGTCGAACCCTGGGATGGGCCAAGTGTGGACTGCAGGTGCCCCACCACACGCGAGACATAGGTGATCGCGCATGGGAGCATGTGCTGGCCACGTCACTGTGTCCATGTGTGTCAGACCCTCATGGTGTTTGTACAAGTTTTATTTTTAAAAAAATTAAGGGAAAAATGGGTGGGACCCAGAGTTGCTTGGCCTCCGTGAAGCGAGGCTGCAGGTACTGCGTACAGGGAGGCTAGAGGCGCCCCACGTGGTACCCTCCGCGTTGCGCACAGTCTCTGCTTTCTCTCGTTCCAGGGGACCAAGGAGACAACTTCTATGTGATCGACCAAGGAGAAGTAGATGTGAGTATCTCTTACCTGCTCTGGAAAACAGCGCCTGTGTCCACGGCCAGGTCAGGGAAGCAGCTTGTGGGCCCCGCTGTGCCCGACAGCGGTGCTGGGGTGTGCAGCTCTGGGCCGACCCCCGCCACTCAGCTGCTTAGTGTGGGCCGCTCGCCTCGTCACACCCCCCTACATTCATTTAAGTGCCCTCAGGTCCAACAAGACGGCGTCTCTTTGCAGACTGTCAAGTTCTGCTGTCTTGCTCCACTGTTCCCAGCACGCTTCAGAGGGAGGAAGTGGCTGGCTTGGCCTGCTCATCCTGATGGGACCGCCTGCCCACCCCCTCAAGGGAGGTCCCAGAGCCCGGCCCCAGAGCCCCCTCGAGATGCGGGAGGGGTCTCCGGGCTCTCCCCAGGCTCCCTGTGCTTGCCACCTTACGCCGTGCCAGGGGCCATAGCTGGCTTTTCTTGAGGCCAGGGACCCATGGAGGCGGTTTGGGGAGTGGGAAAAGTGAGGTCACCTTCTTGTAACCAGAGTTCTCCAAATATGTTGTCTTGGCAGATCTAGCCCCCCAGCCCCGGCCTCAGAGGCTCAGGTACAAAGGCAGCTTTAAGGCGCTCACTGGACCCTGGCTCGCCTGAGCCAGGATGTCCGGGCCCGTGGGTGGATGTCTGAGTCCAGCTATAGTCTCAAATTTGGGCCAGCCAGCCCTTGAAGGGACAGGCAGTGACTTGTGGGGCCGCCCCACGATGCCCGTCGGGGTCCCCCACCAGCCTGTTCGGGTTCCCAGTGGGCAGGGCGGGCGGGGAGCCCTCCTGTGATGTGGGACGCACCGGGCAGTGCAGCACTGGGGGTGAAGGCCACATTTAAGGGAATCAAAAGAGCTCAGTCAGGAATCTGGGATGAAAAAGTGGCATGTGGGCTAGCTGGGGTGAGTTATGGGATATGTATTATAATAATTACTGTTATTACTGCTCGCAGATGCTCTGAGGCCCGAGCGCTGCGTTTGTGTGCTCTTTTCTGTAAACTGCCTTCCAGGATGCAGGGGAGCGACCTGGCTGACCTGGCCCAGGGTCGTGCCTAGGACAGTGTCGGGCCTGCTGACCCTGGCTCTTAGGCTCCAGCGATGCTGGTCTCATGGGGGTGAGGGGCTCACCAAGTGCCGAAGCCCCATAGGAGGCACATTCCCCCGGGACCCCAGCCTGGCCCTCTGCCTGGCTGGGCTCGGGTGTGGGCATCCTGCGCATGCCCTCCTCTTCTGCAGGGTGGACGCTGCCCTCTGACCAGCAGCGCCCTAGGGGACTGGCCAGGTGACCAATGCCAGAAGCACCAGGTTCAGTTTAAATTATGGTTTTCCAGAGAGACACCGCAGTGTGTGTGTTGCCAAGAGCTATAATCCATTTTTCTAAGTATAAAAATATCTTCCAATTTGTTTTATTCATGGAACATAGCATTTCTACTTAAAAGGATACTCAGCTGCCGATTTTAGGGCTCAGGAACATAGTTCTGTCTGAGGCCTGGCTCCTCCCTAATCCTGCGAGGCCTTCACTATTTTGGGACCCTCCTTTGTGCTGGGACCCTCCCGCCCTCCGGCTCCAGCCCCACCCGCTTCCCTCCAGTTTCTAGCCTCTGAGGTGGGCATGAGGCCTCTGAGCTGCGTCCCTGGGACAGGGCACCCCAGGGCATGGCCGTCTGGCTCCGTGGGTCGCGGTCAGTTATTCAGCGTTTCCCTGGAGCTCTGGTTTTTTGTTTTTTTGTTTTTTTTAATTGGTAAAATACAAGTAACATAAAATTTGCCATCTTAACCATTTCTCTGCGTCTGGTTCAGGGGCACCATCCCCCCATCTGGCTGCAGAACATTCCATCCCACACACAGAGACCCTGTCCCCGTGACGCACAGACCCCCACCCCCTCCCCCAGCCCCGGCCCCGCCGTCTACCCTCTGTGTCTGTGAGTCTGACAGCTCCGGGACCTCGTGGGAGTGGGGTACCCGTGCGTGTCCTTCTGTTTCCTGGTTGGTGTCCCTCCACCTCCCATCCTCGGGGCTTGTCCCCATGGGGGCAGGTTCCCTCTAAGGCTGTCATGTGGATGGACCACACTGTGTTCCTATGTTCACATCATTGGACACCTGCATCGCTCCCACCCCTTGGCCATCATGCATCTCGCTGCTATGGGTACGAGCATCTGCTCCTGCCCATGCTATCAGGATGTTTCTGTTACTCAATCACTGACTGGTTCACCCGGAGCCGGCTGTGAAGCTTTTCTGCAGTATCTTGGGGCCTTCCAACCCCTGTTTCACCGTAGAGCGCATCTGGGGACCCCAGCACGCCCTTTTCATTCTCTGCTGAGGCCCTGGCAGCCTGGGTGTGGTCAGCTGGTAAGGACTGTCCTCGGGACCTGGGGGACAGGGAACTCAGAGCCACCCCATGTGGTGGTGGCCTTTATACAAACCACACACCTGCTCCATTTTCAGGAGGGGAGCTCAGGGTCCCTGCAAAATCCTACCCTATGAGCACCTGAGTGTGGTTGACGTGGGGGAGGGCCATGCGCCAGAACAGATTCGGGGTTCCTCTGGAGGGGACCTGAATGGAAGTGGAGCCCGCGTGGCCCGGGTTCTGCAGACGGGAACTTCAGGAGGGACACCTGTGCGGGGGGGCTTGCTTTGTGAGCAGCAACCAACCAAATACCCTCTGGGCATTTGGCATTTGGGGCTCGAGGTGCTGGAGCCTGGCGGGAAGAGCAGCTCACAGGCGGGCTTCTGCTCCCTTCAGGGTGCCTGTGGGCAGCCCCGCCGAGGGCCCGGGACACAGGTGCCCGCTCGCGGTAGGGCTGCGCCCGCTGCTTGTGCTGGGAGCCTGGGGAGGCAGCAGGAGACGGGCCATTAACTTTTCCTCACCATCTGTGAAGGCAGAACAGCCGGGGGCACGCCGGAGTGCCAGGTCAACTCCAGGCGGTGTGAGAAACCTGGCCACTCGCCGCCCGCCCCCCCCCCCCCGCCTGCTTAGATTACACGGATAACTCTGGGCCCTGGTGTTCTGTCTCCGCTGCCCAGACGGTTTCTGCCAGCCCGTCTTTGTTTCCTGTGGAGCAGAGCGCTGCCCCAAGATGCCCAGGTCAGGGAGGGCAGGTGGCAGAGTGAGGCGGCGAGCACGCCATGTGGACGATGCTCTCTCAGCCCTGGTCTGCATCTGAGGCTCCAGATGCTGGGGCCCCAACTCGGGATCTGATTGAGCAGGATCCTGTGCCTTTGGTCCGATCACCATCTCCACCTCCTTCTGCGTGGAGCGGAAGCAGCCTGTCCAGTGTGGGCCACGTCATAGCCACCTGCTGCCACGCTGGTCACTGGGCCTCGGCTCCCGGGCTCTGACCCAGCCGCTGGGATTGCTGAGCCCGCTGCCCACAACTGCCTGTTGAGTGACTTCCCCGCTCCTTTCCCCCTCCGGCGGCCCCACCAGAGGGAGCGTCACAGCGCAAACCCGATGAAGTGCCAGAACCTTCTGTGGCTTCCTTTTGCTTCTAGAATAACATCCCAGCCCTTCCCTCCCCCACCCTGGCTCCTGCCCCCTGGGCTTCTCTTCCTGCTGGGTCATGTGGCATCCAGTGCCCTCCATTTCACTGTGGCCCCAGGGCCTTTGCACACCCTGTCCTCTACCTCAGTCACCCTTCTCCCACATCTTTGCACGCTGGCCCTGGACGCACAGGGCCTGGCTCAAGTTCTCCTTCATGGAGAGCCCTCCTCGCACAGTCACTGCCGTGGTCCTTCTGAACACTGCCTCCTGCTCTCTTCACGCCCGGAGCGCACTTCATGATGAATGTGTGTTTGTATGATTTTGTGCCTGCCGTCTTTCTCCTGGCTGGAGTCCCCGTGGACAGGAACCCGCCTGCCTTCCCCTGGTGACTGCCGGCAGTTAGAACGTGCAGGGCACAGAGGGGCGCTCAGTTCACATTGGCGGTGATGGACAGATGGATGGATGAATGCACGAATGCAGAACAGCTGGGTGGGAGCTCTGGGCTTAGCCGGAGAAGTCACTGTCAATGGTGGGACCGTAAGTGTAGCCCAGTGGGGCCTCCCACCATTTTTCTTCTAAAAGAAGAAGAAACAAAAAATGAAACAAAGCAAGAAGTAGCCCCTTTGCGTGCCAGCTGGGGTGGGGCCCAGTGCTGCACTGGCCGCAGTGACAGAGGCCAGTGTCCCGAGAAGGATGGCCCCTTTGTGCTCTGTGGGGCGGCCTGCAGTGTGTTCCTGGGCCCGTCTGGGGCTCTGCACAATGGTTTTCTCTGACGCCTCTCAGGGAGTTCTCCGAGGCCTGGGCTTCTGGGCAGGAAGGGGGTCCCCAGCGGCCCCTGGTGATGATGCACTCCGGGCCCCAGGTCCCCCAGTTCCCCTGGGTCCTGCCCTGCTTCCTCTGCTGAGCTCCTTTGTCTGTCCCCTGAGTGCCTGTGCTCTTGGGTGTCCTGCCCCTGTCAGCAGCTGTTCGAGGTGGGTGGCTTCTGTGACCCTCAGGTATGAGGGGGAGGTCCCCCAACCCCCCCAGACTACCATGTCAGGCAGAGTCTCCCAACCACTGACTCACGTTCCCAAGCTCCCTTCACTGCCCCAACTTGAAGAGGCCCCTGGGAAGACGTGCAGTGTGCACTATTCGGGGGGCCATTTGGTTCAACTGTTGGGGAACAGTGTTTAGCAACATCTGTGCACACAGGAGTGCCCGGCACTCACCCTGGAGAAGTTGCAGGAAACGTGCGTCCCCCCACAGGACGGGCACCCACTAAACCCAACAGCTCACATGCAGAGCAACAGAAGGATGCACCCTGTGATTCCTTTTCGTGGAGCCATGGTCGCTGGAGGGGACCTGTCACCTGAGGGGTCCCGGGGGAGCAGTGCCGACGTCACCGAGCTGTAGAGCTGGGATCCAGGCACATGGGTGTTTGTGAGTCAGATTTCCGTGGGCAGGATTTCACAGCAAAGCACAGTATGGGGAGGGCCGGCGGGGGGCCGGGTTGCCGGGACCCTTGAGAAGTTGTCACCGCCCCCCTCCCCACAGTCTCTCGGTCCCCTTTGAGAAGACCAGGAGAGCAGCTTCTGGAGGATGTCGTCTGTGGTCCCTAAAACTCCTGGACCATGCATCCCTGCCTCGTGGGAAGGACAGGACATTGTCCTCCTGTCCCTGGGGAGAGCCTCGTTGTGTGGAAGCTGGCGACTCCTGCCCTGGGGACCTAGGGGCCCGACCTCCCTGCGGGAGCACGAGAACACAGGCCCAGGAGCAGGCGCTCTGCGCTCGGCCAGGCTGGCGGAGGCTGGCGGGGACACGCACACAGGCCCCTGCGGGGCGGCTGCTTCTCTGCAGCTGTGGTCTCCTTCCCATGTGGCTTCATGGTCGGCCGGGTCCCCCGGGACCCTCACTCACTCACGTTACGGAGTTACCACATGCATGGTGTTTTCTTGCGGCTACACGATTCTGTGCCTCAGTTATTGCCCAGATAATGAGTCATTGATTTCAGTAAGAATGGCGTCCATGACTCACGGCAATCCGTTCTTTCCCGATGCACACCCATTTTGGCAATGGGCACTATTCTTCAAGCTCATTGACACACTGGGGGAATAAAGCTGCGTTGTGTCAATTTATAGTAACGGAATCTGCATAGGCACCGCATAATAAACAATCTGTACTATTCTTGCGCGATACGGAACGTGCAGGGTCAATGCATAGTGGCAGCACTGTGCTGGGTCACCCACACACGCTGAAAGGGCCCCTCTCAGCTGGGCCTCATCGGCGCCCCGGCAGCGACTCCACCGACCCCAGGCCCCGGGAGCTGGGTGCTACGGCCCCAGGCTGGGAGGCCCCGTCAGCATGGCTCCATGAGGGTGGGCTGGGGGCAGAACCCGGGAAGGTGTCAGCAGGGGTGCCTGAGGAAGCACCGAGTCTGACCCACCGTGTGCAGCTGGGGAGACCAGCCCCGAGACCCTTCCAAGGCAGATGAGGACTTGAATTGAAGGCTGGGAGGGAGGCAGGCAGGCCTTCTGCACAGACCAGGAGCACTGGATGGTGCATCCGCTTCCCATGCAGGCCCGTCTCGCTGCCTGTGGAGGGCGGAGACTCAGAGGGTGCCATCGTGCTGGTCCAGCCACGTGCGACTCTGCACAGGGTTGGGGGTGAGGCAGGCAGCATGGCTGGCAGAGATCCAGGACAGGCCTGGGCAGGGTGGTGGGAAGTTGTGCCTGTGGGCAAGGGAGTCTGGGGGCTGTGGCCGTATGTCCCCTTCTTGCCAAGCCCCCTCTGGCAGGCATGGAGGAGGGCTCCCGGTACAGGACAGGCCACTGTGACCCCACACATCCCCCGTGACCTTTGTGACGTTTTTTATTCTGTCCCCTGAAGGTGTATGTGAACGGAGAGTGGGTGACCAGCATCAGCGAAGGGGGCAGCTTTGGGGAGCTGGCGCTCATCTATGGCACCCCCAGGGCGGCGACCGTGAAAGCCAAGACGGACCTCAAGCTCTGGGGCATCGACCGGGACAGCTATCGGCGCATCCTCATGGTGAGTGGCTCCCTGGCACAGGAGTTCAGCAGGGCTGGGGGGGTGGTGGTCTGGCACACAGCCAATCATCTCACAGGAACCCTGGCTTTGTCCAAGTGGGGGTGATAGAAAAGGGCTGATGGGATGGGTGAAAAGTGTGGGAAGGATTCTGGAAACTTCTTAAAAGGTAAGCAGGCAGCTAGGAAGGCCCCTTTGCCCTTCCTGTCTCCTTTCAGCTGTCTGGAATGGGGTTGTGATGGCTGGAGCTCCAGCTGCCATTCTGGACCATGAGGTGACTCTGAGGATGGAAACCGTTCATCAAGGTGGTGGAGCAAAGAGATGCCAGGAGCCTGGCTCTCTGGTAGCCCCAGCACAGCGGGGCCAGACTGCTTGGCCCCAGATGTCCTCATGTGGGGGTCAGCCCCTGGGTGTTTTTGCCCCTGTCATTTTAGGTTTTCTCTCCTGTGCAGCCACATCCACTCTTCGCTGGTGCAGGGTGGGCGCAGGCCCCTATGTGGCCGTCGGGGGCATGGTGAGCTGTGAACGGAGAGGCCCTCCCTGGGGAGAGGAGGCAGGCTTTTCGTGTACCCACTCAGTGCTCATCCCACACACACCACCTGCCCAGGCACCGTTCTTGGTGCTGAGATCAGGGAGCATCATCACAGGGGCAGAGCCTGCCCTTTGGAAGCCAGCATGTTAGTGCAGGAGTCAGAGAACAAACACATACCTCAGGTAGCGACAATTCCTTGGAGAAAATTACAGCAGAGAAGGGGAAGGGGGGGGGGCTGCTGTGTTATAGAAAGGCCCAGAAGAACTCCTCCTGGGATAGGGCAGCTTTGGAGCCGAGGCCTCTGAGCAAGGAACCAGCATATCCAGGAGAAGAGTGTCTGGGCAAAGACCCTGCAGCATGAGCTTGGATGCTCGTGGAGCAGTGGGCAGACCACCGTGGATGGGGATACAGGGGTCCTGTGGGGGGGGTACGGCTAACACAGAGCCCTCAACTCCCACCTGAGTGTGTGGGAGGAGCCCTGCAGGGGTTTGAACAGAGGAGCTTCTGCAGCTGACGGGGCTGTCCCGGAGAGGGTGGAAACCATCCTACTCCGGGAGCAGCAAGGAAGCCAGAAGGCTCTGGGCCGGCCACACTGGTCCGAGGACATCCCAGAGTGGTCGAGGGTCTCCATCCCTCCCCATCCCTGGGCAGAGGCCACCGGAGCTGAGCGCCTGGCCTTTGGAAGTCTCACTCCTCAGCCACCTAGGCTCGCCGGGTGGTGACGGCTGGGACAGGTGCTTTTCCGGGTGGGTCAGGGAGCGTATCTGCTAGACCCAGCATCCCAGAGGGCCTGGACCCCAGGAGGGGTCCCGACAGGTCCAGAGGGAGGTGACCAGGGTTAGCTCCTTGCCGGGAGACCTTGGCTTCCCCCACATGCTCTCTGGGACTTGACTGTCCCCCCGAGATTGGTCTGGACAGTGCAGCTTCCAGGGAGGGGCTGTGATGCAGGGGTGCTTTGGGGGAGGCCTGGGGACAGTCTGCAAGTAGTTTAAAATAGCCTCAGGGCTCAGTCAGGTGGGAGCCTGGATATGGAGTCCTGCTCAGGCTGCCCCTCTCGGGAACGTCAGCGTCCCTCGCCCACCCTGGTCCCACCACAACGCCCCAGTTTTCACAACCCAGGGAGAATTCAGTGCAGTCCTGGGGGCGATGCTCCATGCGCATGAGGAACCTGTCATCCGTGCACTCAGTAAGCATTGACTGAGTGCCTGCTGTGTGCCAGGGGCTCTTCTAGAGCCGTGGACACATCAGGCGAGAGCAGCTGAATGTCCCTGCCTCCGGAGCCAAGCTCTCTCTCTTCTTCATCTTCAACTTGCTAACTCCTGTTTTCTCCAGGAGAGGTTGTGTGCCTCGTGGGTGGGGCGCCCTGAGGCACCTTACCCCCTCCTTCCCACAGGCAGGGGCAGGTTTGGGCTAGGGCCCAGCAGCCTCTGTCCGCCCGCAGTCCCCTCCGCATGCACCTGGCCCCATGTTGCATAAGCTATTGTTTCTCACCATCCCCAGTGCTCAGTCCTTCTTGGCTGTGGGATTTTTGTGGCTGGAACCTTGTATTCAGGGAAGTTCCCAAAACACCGAGGCTGCTGGCACTTCCTCTGTCTTAATTCTGGATCCCTGTGTGCTAAGAATAGCCATGGCTGTGCTGGGAGTTGCATAGCTTCTGTGTCTTGGGAAAGAAAATGACAGTGCTGGCCGACCCGGAAGGGAGTGTCCTGCAGGACAGTCCCCGTGTTTGCATCAGTCCTGGGTTTGGGCGGATTTGGATGCATCCGTCATGCAAAGTGGACCCACCATGCATTCACTTGGCACTAAACTGGGACTTGCCAAGGGGGAGATGGGGGTGGCGGGGAACCGCCAGGGGTGTCTCCAGGGAGGAGGCCCCTCCCTATGTGTTCAGGCGATAGGGATCCCAGGACATCTGATCCAGAAGTTTCCCTCAAACATCCCTTTTCTTGCCTCTGCTGCTCCGTGTGGCATAGGACCCCCACTGAGCAGGGCCACACTCCATGTCCCCATCTGCAATGAGGGGGGTCAGGAAGCACTGCCTGTGCCCGCCCCGTCCGTCCCTCCTAGGTCAGGTGTGGGGTTCCCACTCCCTGCGTGAAGAATGGAAAAGCTCCTCAGGCTGCCCTGTACCCGTGAAGCAGGAGTCAAGTGCCAGCCTCTCTGGGACAGAGCGCCCAAGGGGTGCCTCCCTCTTGGCGCATGAATGGACTCCCAATGTTCATGCACCATCCAGAGGCTGGTAGCCCTCCCTCTGTGTCTCAGTGGGAAGCAGACAAGGAGCCTGCTGGGCTGAGGTGGGAAGTCTGGAGGAAGGTGGGGAGGAGCCCAGGTCAAAGACACAGAGAACGTAGTGCTGTCTGTCCATTCTTCTGATGGGGAAACTGAGGCCCAGAGGGGGTGACTCTGGGCTAAGAGTGGGGGGGTATGGGTGATCTCGAGTTGGAATGGGAGTGTGCTGATCCTCCCTGTCAGCCCTCCTCCACTGTGCCCAGGAAGGCTCATCCCTGCTATCACCATCACCCCACCATCAGCGCCATCACCACCATCATCACCATTTCTTCATCACCACCATCACCACCGTCATCATCATCATCACCAACATCATCATCACCTTCATCACCATCATCACCATCATCACCATCACCATCACCTTCATCACCGTCATCACCACCATTACCATCATCACCATTGCCAGCATCATCATCACCATCACCATCACCATCATCACTTTCATCACCATCATCACCATCATCACCTTCATCACCATCCTCACCATCATCATCATCACTACAACTATCACCACCATCACTACCACCACCATCATCATCGCCTTCATTACCACCATCACCATCCTCAC